TGTTTCTGTTTCAGGCGAGAGGAGCCGCTGTGCGTGAACAACATCGATATCAGACGAGGAGCCCCGTGGTCACATGACTTTGTGCAGGTGTGCGGCATCTACTAAAGAAAGACAGCTACACAAAAGACAATGAAAACCCACGCAGTGCATTAACAGTGAAGTCGCCAATGAGTACCAACATGAAGCCTCACTAGCTTGTTTAACGTTAGTAAAAAAAAGATCAGAGAGCCAAAGAACTAGATTTTATTCCACAGAGGAAGCTCTACTTGCTGACAAAATGCAGTCTAGTCATACTTCATTATTTAGCTTTAGTTATTCGGCTAATCCACTTATCTTCCAACATCATGACTGCCAGTAAAAAGAATGTATCTACAGTACATTATTGTCTTTTGTTATTTAGGTTTGCTTCTTAGCTCACTCCTGCCTCTGAGAAGAGTGCGTAGAATTAAACCTTTTTGTATACTCTGCTTTTAGGATGTTCAGGGTGTCGTTACTGCTGAATTCAGTTTGTCTTTTAAAGCCAAGCAATAAAACTAGTAACTGGGCTTTTCTCTGTTGATGTTTGTAGGTTAAGTAATTACATTTGCATGTTTGATAATCATGTCTTGTGACACATATGACAGGAAGTAGACAGTCACAGAAAACAAACTACATTTTAACTGCACACAAAAAGCTTTATGGAGAAATGTTGGCCCCATGAAGATACTTTTTAAAAACACTGACTTTTTAGTCCCATCTCTCTGTTAACAGACAACACAATTCACAGTATACATGTGTGTATTACTCAACTCTAACTGTGTTAGTTACAAAAATTAAAAAAACATGGTCTACAGGCATCTAATATATCACCAAAGAAGTATTAAGAGGTTGTTCTCTTGATGAATGTGGCATCATGCTCTGAAAATCAGTACAAGAAGATCACTTCTTAGACAGCATATATTGACACTGAACCAAGTCATGGTGCATTCAGATAAATAGCTAAACATGCCCAACAACAAAGTGAAATGGAGAATATCTACACTGCCAGGTTGCAGGTTTTGTACCTAAATTGTTCATATGCAGCTCTGGAAAGGTCTCGAGGAGTATGCAAACTAAATATTTTACAGATCTTGAAAGGATAAAGTACGGAGTATGATTTTAAGAGGTTGTTCCACGTCTTATTGATTCATATAATGTGATTTTTTTTTTTTTTTTCAGATCCAGAAAATGTGTAGTAATCTTAAATCAGTACTCTTTCTAACACTGGGTGTACGTGAATTGTGAAAACAAAACATCAAAAGTCAAATTTAGTGAAGTCTGAACCAAACTGTCTTGTTCTAACATCAAATAAAAGTAAAATGAAAACCAAATTCATCTGTTTCAGTATCACAGAATCCATTTTTATAACATAAAATAACATTGCAGGCATTTAATGTGCTGGTAAGTAACAAGGTGAAGGCCGCCCCTGTCCTCACTGTTCAAGTGCCATTTATGATGGTGATTTAAATGAGGGTCTGACTGATTGTTGACAGTCCATCTTTAATTGGACAGATGATTGTCTCTGATAGCAGCTACAGCAACACACAATATAAATGCTCTTTGAACATTGTATTGATTCACTCCTTCATTAAATTATATATTTTGTAAATTCCATATTCATTGTAATGCTAAAATATCTAAGTTTCATTGAAATTAAATAGATGTGGTGGATCCCCCTGCTTTATGGTGGCATAAATGCTGCTTCAGAGACCAACATTAAATTAGTGTGGGGATAAATATCAATCCCAAGTATTGGTTGTCTAAAGATATCAGTATTGACTGTAATTTAAATAGACATAAAGAAGAGCACACACTCTAAATGTCCAGAAGACACTGAAGACGTGAACTAAAGTGAGAACAGGGACAGAGAGCGAGGAGGAGGCAAGTGACATGTGACTCATTCATACTGCTTTACTGTAAATAATATAGTGTTTCCAGGAGAGACTGTTCTCACAGTTTGGGAGTGTCGGTGGGAGCTAGCGGTGCTCTGCCCCTCTGGAATCGAGGTGGTAGGTTCCCGTCACTATCACCTCCTGCAGAGTCAACAGTCAAAAGCTTCAGTTAGGAATGTCATAAGTGTTTTCATACTGACATCCTGATAACATGACAGACAATTAACTGCTGCCGTCAAATCAAGCTACAGAGAAACTGCAATATGTGACAATTCATATTATTTACATTTCACATTTCACTGGCAATGGTTTTGAAAATAACAGAAATGGGGTTATTTGTCAGATTTTAACAGCCAAAGCCACACCATCATTCACCTGCAGGCTCTGACTCAATGTCAGAAGGTTAGGGCCAGGATAACCCACAAGGAGGCCCTGGGATAAAAATTTGCTATGGGCCCTTCTGGGCTACTGTAGAAACATGGATCGAATGTATGGCGACCCGTGGAATCTGTAGATAAAAACAGCTCATTCTGAGGTAACAAAAACACAACCATAACCATTACACACTAATGAAAACATACCTATGAATATTATATTCCATTTCTGGCAATGGAGCCTCCTAA